TAAATAAATAAATAAATAAATAAATAAATAAATAAAGTTAAATAAAATAATTCTTTAAAGAAAGAAAAAGAAGTAGGAAGGTAGTTCTGATACAGCCCTTACCATTCAAAAGGTCATGTGACTGATTAAATTTCCGAAAGGTTAAAACTCCAGTGAAAATATTCTAAAATTGTTTCTGAGAACCCCCTGGGTATTTATTTTGAATGCATGTGAACAGGGTACGAGAAAAGATACAAGAAAGCGAGAAGACGTGGAGGAACAAGGTTTATATTCACTGTTTCCTCCGCCCAGCTGAATCCCTCGCCGAGAGCGGCCCCACTCCGCGCGGCGTGGGAGGAAGCCCACGGTCAGAAGGCGTCTCCGGACACCCTCCGGGAGCCCATGCACCTGCCCAGGGCCCTCCTCAGGGCCCCAGCCACGTCCTTGTTCCTCAGGCTGTAGATGAGCGGGTTCAGCATGGGCGTGAGGATGGTGTAGAAGGCGGACAGCACCTGGTCGCGGGCCGGCGTGTGGAAGGACTGCGGCAGCAGGTAGGTGTACATGGCGGCGCCGTAGAACAGGGTCACCACGGTCAGGTGCGAGGAGCAGGTGGCGAAGGCCTTCCTCCTGCCGTCGGCCGAGCTCATGCGGTGCACGGTGGCCAGGATGCGCGCGTAGGACGCCAGCACCACGGAGCAGGGCAGCAGCAGCATGAGCACGCAGCAGGCGTACATCACCGTGGAGTAGAGCGCCGTGTCCGCGCAGGCCCTCGCAGATGAAGTGGTCGATCTCGCGCGAGCCGCAGAACGGGAAGCTCATGGTGATCGGGGTGAGCAGGAAGCCGTCCAGCGAGCCCCCGCACCACGAGCCGGCGACGATGGCCCAGCACACGCGGCGGCTCATGAGCACCGGGTAGCGCAGCGGCTGGCAGATGGCCACGTAGCGGTCGTAGGCCATGAGCCCCAGCAGGAAGAACTCGGCGCCCACCAGGGTCAGGTACAGGAAGTGCTGGGCCGTGCAGCCCGCGAAGGAGATGGTCCTCTGGCCCAGCAGGTAGCCCAGCAGCACCTTGGGCACGACGGTGGAGATGTACAGCATGTCGATGGCCGACAGGTGGCTGAGCAGGAAGTACATGGGCGTGTGCAGCCGCCGGTCCGCGCGGATCAGGAAGATCATGACCCCGTTGGCCGTCAGCGCCGCGAAGAAGATGGCGGAGATGACGGCGAAAAGAAGGCCCGAGGTCTCCTTCCTGCCGAACAGCCCCAGGAAGGTGAAGTCTGTCGAGGATGCGTTGTAGCCCGCCATGAACTCCGCGCCGACCTGACCTGCGCCTTCAAGGAAAACGGCATTCCCAAGGAATTAAAAGAACGTATGGATTTTTAAAAATGTTTTTCATTTCATTTTCCTCCATACATTCAATCACATTATTATTTGTCTTACAAAATGGATATTTCGACTGGTGAACATTTCTCCCTAGTACTGTTGTATGGATTAATGAGAAGCAAATTTCCCGAGGTTGGAAGAAAACATTTGCAAATGGTTCTCTTGGTGCTTTGGAACTGATACCTAGCAACTCTCTATTCCATATGCTTTAAATAACATGATAATTTCAGAGAATAATTCGCTATGCTGGACAAGATGACGCGGGCACACGTCGCTGTGACACACTGACACTCATGTCACACAGCCAGCCTCCAGGGTGCCATGTACACCCCACCCTCCGTTCACCCGAGTCGGTGTCAGTATTAAATGCATCTCTCTTACCACCGGCCTCTAGGTTGGACTGGGAATTGAACCAAGGCCTGCCGTTTGGCTCCACCCTGCAGAGCAGTGTCAAGACAGCTTGCCACACAGTGGCTGGCCAAGGACTTCCGCCTTTCTAAAAATGCAAATTATGGTTTTAGTGTTTTCCCTTCAACTCGATGTAAACTGTGGTTCTAAATAAAACATCGAGTTGACGTTAATGACTGCTCTCCCACCTGGAGGGGCCTGGGAAGGGCTGCTCTGAATTCTGCTGGCAGGCTGCACTGCTTTCGTGGGTCAGTATGCATTCAAGTAACCAGAAAACATCCGGCATGATGCTTTGCCTTTTCAGGAGTTTGCTTCTTAAATGATGTAGGAGACATGGAGTAACACAAAATTTAGAATGAGGTGAATGAATTCTTCTGGTCATGACAGTAAGTAATTCTGTGACCCTGGATTCCCTCCCTGAATCTCTGAGCTGCAGTATTTTATTTGTATTAGTTGAACTAATAAAGCATTCAGAACTAACTTAAAAATCAGATATGAAAATTATAGTCATTGGTGAGAACATTTTATAGTATACAAATTAAAATGCTAATATTATGCATGTATACGAATTATTTCAAAGCTTTTCTTAAATGCGTGAGAATTCCCAATGTCTCATTTAAGCAATCCACATACTCAAATGAATTTTCATTGTACATACCTCTTAACTTCAGGTCTGTAAGCCCAGGCACTCTGGGCGAAGCTACCTCAGCAGTTAGGGTGTTTCCGGTGTAGTGGAACCCTCAGGAAAACGCGGTGGCCGGAGCTGAGCCAATGAGGACTTCAGTGTCTTGGAGGGGCAGCAGTGTGCTTGGGCTGCAGATGGCGAGAACATCACTGAGTTATTGCACAGAACGCCAGGGCTTTACTGGGGAAAAGCACCGCTGGCCCTATTTAGTTTTATATTGTACCACTCTAAGAGAAAACAATGCATTTATTTCATTCTGACATTTGCAGATATTTTTCCTCTTTTGTAAGAGGTTCAAGCTGGGTCAGGCAATTCCTCCTCTGTCACTATAGTTTGAAGTTAGAATGCAGTCCTCGCCTGGGCTCTCACGGTCACTAAACTCACCCTTATACCAACTGACATGAATGGGAGAGCTCCAAGCTGCAGCCTTCACGTGCTTCTGCATGGCCGCTGCTGCACCTTCTGCATGGCTGCAGCTGCACCTTCTGCATGGCCGCTGCTTCACCTTCTGTGTGGCTGCTGCTGCACCCTCTGGCTGGCCGGT